GTTAAACATATGGAGGATATAGTATTTGACTGATATTGTACAGAAATAGGCCTGTCCTCAGCTGAGGAATGTTTTGACCAATAAAGTGTAGTCCTTACTCAGGGCAAGTCTTCCTTTAAAATATATAATAAATGCTGTGGATGTTTTAATGTCCAAAAAGAAGTGAAAGGACATCCATTTTCAGAATTAGTCATAAAGGCCTCATATAATATTATAATGCCTAGCAGTTGAAGCCTTTCAAAATTAATATCCAATGCTATGTTGTAAAAATGTAGAATAAAAATCAGTCCTTACATGAGAGAGTTACAGTCTACGCACATTTATCTCAGAAGATCTGAGCTGACCCGCTTAGTCACCGGAGCTCTGTTTTAACTGTGTGTAGGTGTTTAAAAAGTGTTTATACCACAAAGCTGCCCCCTCCAGATAGCACTCCTGTTACGTTCACAGTGTGGTGATAGATAAACAGAGAACAAACAGCTCCCTCACTAAATACATTAAGCAATAATGGCATAAGATTAATGTAGGACAATAATTATGACAACCAGGAAAAATAAGTAGTGAAAGTAACAACCTGTTTGCTTAATGCATTTCAGCTTGTCATTCTTTTGCAATGAGATTAGAAAGAAATACAAAGCAACTAATGCTTCACCTAGAAAAATATGTTTCTGGAAAGCACAGAATGAGAACAGGGAGGGTTTTTTTGGTGGAGTGTTTTGGGTTTTTTCCCCAAATTGATCGTGTATTTTGTAGGCAATCATTTTATTGTGACAGAATGTGAAGGGATTACTACATACAACATTTACCTTGCCTTTTACATTCAAGCCTCACTCAATCTGCTACTGCCATGGAGAAATTGTCTAGCCACTAACACATCCTGTCGGTGTGATTCAATAGTAATTCTAGGTATCACCTGAACTTAAACGTACGGTGGGTCTGAGCTGGAGTCATGACAGCATTAAATTAAACTGGTTAAAATATGATGGGAAAATACTTATTCAAAGGAACTTATTTCATTGTGTATTTTACCCCTAGTATAATCTTTTCAATTCTGCACTATTATGAGACAGTGAAACTTGCAATTTAGAGGTTCTTAGAAAGATAGATTATATCTAAAATAGGTTTATTGTAAGAACCTGTTATAGGTTCCAAAATTTTATTCAAAATTTAAAGTGGGGTTTTTTGAGATGAAGAAGCTACTCTATATATAATGTGACAATGGAATTAAACACAAAAAATTCCACAATACATGTCATCAAAGAGAGGATTGCAAATTATTTTAAAATGAAATTTTAAAAAAATGAGAATTTGTGTGTTATTTCATACAAGTAGCTAGTTGCAATGGGTAGAACTCTTTAAACCTATTATGATTTGAGATGTTAAGGAATCTATTCATTAAATTCCATTTTCAAGTGAATCAACTTAAACCATGTGGTTTAGGGGCCAAGATTTCAAACTGGCCAACATTTTTATGCCATCCCAAAACCACACCATCACCTTTTTCCTTCTCATTTGGCTTACTTAGCAATAGTTTGCATGTCCTCACCCAATCTGAAATAAATAAACTACCAAGTGGGAAATATACTCTAAGAGCCTGGCTTTTAGCTTTGACTCACAGAAGCAAAAAACATATCTTCAGCTGCTTCCACCTATTGATCCGCTCCTATTGTGCTGAAATACTTCTTGACGTCGGTGTAGCTGGGAATTAAACAAAATGATACAAGCTCTTTGGAAATCACTGTCAAGATCCTTGAAGAGGAGGCAGAATCAGCATTTTAAAACTTTTTTACTTGTTATTTGAGGCGTGCATTCCTGACTAACCCCTGAACTGCTGTTCACAGAGAAATTCAAGCTGGCAGCAATGGGGAAGATCTTTAAGGGTGAGCATGATCAACCATTGAAAACTTTACTAGGGTGTTTTACAGACTCTCCATCACTGACTACTTCAAAATCAGGATGAGATGGTTTTTCACTTATTGCAAAAAGACCAAGAGCAAAAAACAAAACAAAACAAAACCTGAATAATGTCTTTTTAAAAAGTTATTCCCAGTATTGATGCATTTCTCCTGGACATCCTGGCCTGAGCCTGTCCAGGAGATGATCCCAGTAGAGTGACTGACGTCCAGCCAGTCCTGTCAGTCCTCTTCTGTTATGGTAGAGGCTGTGCCTCAGTTCACCTCACAAACTGACAAAACATTTTTATCTTGCACCCAGTATTGCTACCTCAACTAAACAAGTGAGATTATGGGTTCTGCTTTATGGGTATAAGTGAAAATTAATTTTACTGAAGCTAAAGATGGCAAAGTTTTCAGGAGCTGTAGTGGCTGACACAGCTAAGAAAAGCAACAACTTTTTGAGTGTACAAGCCCTTTTTTTCCTGTTATGAGTTGATCTAATAAAAATATTATGTCTCTGTCCAGATCATGTCCTATCATCATGACTACAAGCACTTTTATAATTCTATTTTTGATAAAAAGTCAATTGAGTGTCTCTGAACATACCATTGAGTATTGTAACTGGGATCTGAATCTTCTTTTTCGGCATAGGATTGGGAAACAGTGATTTCTTTCTCTACAGTTTCTGAGAGAGAGAGAAGTGGAAAAAAGGAAAAAAAGATGCTTTTCCCCTGACTTCCTCCCAATATACTGATCTGATTCTCTTCCCTATTAGCAATAGCCTCTTTCTATTACAAAGACCTATCTTCCAGTGATTACGTACAGTATAGTTCACATCTGCAACTACCAGAACAGCTTACAACGGCATATGACGAAGTGCATGACAAGAGAAATCTGACAGAATCCCTCCATCACTGAAGTCAGCCAGGACGCCGAACATGGTCATGGTCAAAATTTTCAGTCACCAGCTGTAAGTGCTATAATCCGAGAAATGTTTTGCAAACATTAATCCTGGTAGAAATGGCTGAATGAACCCTGCTTGGGTTTTCCTTTGCAGAAGAGTTGAGAAGTGACAATAAGAAAGAGTCTGCTTTCAAGAAGAAATAATGCATGATTAGTTAAATCATTAAAAAAAAAAGAGGGATTTGCACATATTTTAAAATATCAGAATGTTGTAATATCACAAACAGAAATTACCCTTCCAAAGAAGTTACAAAGGAATGCTAAAGCACATTGTTTATGGGAGTCTTAATCACTGCACATATTAGGAAAAAAAATTACTTATTCCTAACAACTCAAATTGAGTTTGATTTGCTCTTTGTTCTTATATTGAAAACCTGTTTCTTAAATGGGTTCATTTATCACTCTTGCTTCTGCAGAAAAGGCTAGCATACAAAAAAAAAAATCCCATTTCATAGCAATAGCTATAGTCTTTACAGTTAATCCTTACTATTGTCCATCCACAATAGGTAGTATTGCTTACCTCACATACAGGCAAGAAAATCCTTGGAAAGAAATGCAATTTTATGGTATTTCTTCCAAACCACAGCAAATGGGAAAAAAATTAGTTCATGGTAATGAATTTCTCTCTCTAAATGTGCTCAACAGGAAAATTGCTTCCTTCTTGAACCAAAAGAAACGATATAGGATTTCTCTTTTATTTTGACTCCTAAAATGGGGTACTACTAGGACCAGTAGACTATGACTTAGGTTTTCCTTTTAGGAAAGAAATGGAAGCCCATTACTGAATATCACTGCTATACGTGCATTAGAGCAAAATAAAGTCGTTTTCAAGTCCGTCTCTCTCTTCCTAACTTGGTGACGGTAGTTGAATCTAACTTAGTACTTACATGCTGGCACAAGTCCTGTTTATGATACTTTTTGTTTTCCAGATGGATAACAATATACAGCTTAACTTCATCAAAATAAATCTCTACCTATAGCCCTTCTAACAGGAAAAAAAATATTTTTTTTCTACTACAATTAATCTTTATCAAACATTTGTACCTGTCTTACCCAGATAGGTATTAAAATCACATTATTTTCCTGTTTTTCTTATTCTAAGCTGCATTTAAGCTGGACAATACAGTTTTCCCTTCATATTTCTCTAGGCTTCTCTTTAAAACATTTAATTTTGGCTTTTTCCCCCCACAAAGTTACATTATATTGACATTTAATTCAAGAAAATTGATGTTTCCTTATTACCATGATGTAACAAAATGCAGCTCTTTGATAGCAAGCACTTTAATGTCCCATTTACCCATATCCTCTCAGGAGTTTGTCATAGCAACATTCGATGTTATTTAATAGAGTTGATTCATTGCAGGATAACTATAGTTTGAAGAACTGGCACAAATAACCGTGAGTTGGCGGTGGTGCCGCTCCAATGCTGAGCTGATCACAGTAAAAGATGATGGGGATGGGGTGAGGGCATCTCTCCGGAACAGAGTTTTCTATCACCATGATGCCATTACAAAAACAAGTAGTTCATAGAGCCTAAGCAGATGAATGCAAACAATATACAGTCCCCCTCCACTTGTTCTTCCAGCCTTTCCCCCTGAAAAAAGTAAGTGTTTTGGTTTTTAACAGCTTATCAGCTCTTTCAGCATGTGCTGCACCCTACTTTCTGACTATGTAAGGACAGAAGCAGCTTAAGCTCAGCAAGCAATATGGAAGCTTATCACTGTACTTTTCCACAGCATTTCTGAATCCTGTATTTCTCATGTACAATAAAGAGCTACAGCATTTCTTTCTTCCATGGCTTCAAGCATCTTCAAAAAGAGACACAATCACCTTCTTGCAACTAGCAAGTCTGTCTTTTTTCCTTCCTTTACAACATGATGTTATAGAAAAAGGTGTTAGGGTCTTTTTCCCAGCTTGCATTCCACCATTCATTTTTCACCTCACATCAGACTTAAAAGTGACTAAAGGAAGAATGCGACACACACACAGACACCACAAAGACTTCTGTGAGAATTTTAAATTTTACTAATACTTCACATAAAAACCGCACAGATCCCAAAAAACCCAAAAGCCACCCACCAACCACACCACAAGCAACACTGAACACCAGTTTGTCTTTGGATGCCAAAAATAAGTCAGCCCAAATACTGATTATATCTTTATTAATAAAAAAATCTTAGTATAAAAAATAGTTCATTCTGTATACACAGAGAAAGGACAAAGATGAAACTACACAATAGCAGTAAAGTAAGATACATAACAAGTCAATTTAAAGATTCCTGAAACTGTTTTCAGAATTGTGTTCTTTTCTATTGTCATGTGCCACACATTTATTGTCTCCACCAAAACTGCAAGCTTCCTGAAGTAGTCACTTGATACACTTTGGAGTTATGCATAACCATGACAACCATTAACCTATAATGAAAAGTATTGGCTACATTAATGTTTGCTATTGCTAGTTCATCCAGCGATGGACAAAGGTCAGGTAGGTTTAGGGATAGCACATCAAAAAGTTGTATATAATTTACAGAAATTATATCATCCAGCCAAATACTTGTTATTTTCTATGACCTCTGATGCATTTCAGTCATACCCGATAGAATAAACAATCTGGTGTGCTGCTTTGCAATGCTGAAGACCAAGTGAAGCTATGTTACAGTATCTTTCAAGAGCACAAATCATGACAAAGGTACACTTGGTTAATAACATTAAGCTGACTACTTTGAGTCAAACACTTTGCCAGACATAGCACATAACTAAGCTGACAGACAGCAGTGAATATTGACAGGATTAGTCACTTGGGAACAAGTAGCTCTTTAAGCTACAGCAAAGCAGGTGAGAGTAATCTAAAACAGAGCTAGGAGTATCAACTATGACTAAGGCTGCTCTTCTACTTGGAAGATGTCAGTGTCCATTAGGATTATTGGTTTCTTGTCTCTCTTCTATTCTGTCCTCAAATACCAACAAGTGTAGACATAAATGAAAGTTGTACCTGGGTATTTGAGGTTGGGATCTATGCACCCTGCTCAAACAGAGACCAAACTAATTACTGTTTCTTCATGTAATTAGGCTTTCTAAAAGCAAAGCTATTAACAAGCATTCTTGTAAACTTACTCCCTGAAACTGGTACACAAATACTTGATAGAAAATATGTACCATAGAGCAGTCCTACTCTGGACTATATGTCTGAATCTTGTTTACATCAGTGTGACTGCCTATAGAGCTGGTATCTTAAAGGTAAAACTCAACAGTATCACCTATTGCAAAGTCATTCAATACACGTTTCTCCTAAACCTACAATATCTTACTTTTACTGCCATTTTTCTCTAACTATCTAAGTAAGTCACCAGCATATTTAATCCAGGTAACTTCCATTAGAGAGACATCTCAAGTTATAGCAACTCTAATGAACAAGGTAGGCCATGGACACGTCCATTAAGCAATATCATTTAAGCTACTGACAAATATTTTGAAAACGCACTTTTCCACTCTCCTAAAGGTTTTGTTTTCTTCTTGCAGCTGAACCCAGACATTAGGAAGATCCCAAGCCTCTTGGAAAAACAAGTCTGTACGTAGCATCTCAGTCAGTGAAGTCAGCATGCTGTCCTATTCAACTGTTGGCACTGCAGAAATATAAATAAAAAGGTTATGAGTAGAATTATAATTATATTCTCCTCAGAGATATTTATCTGCCTATTTATCTGTATTTTTGAATGCATTCATATCAGATTCTTAACATCAAGTAAAATGGGTAAACTGCATAAATGCATGTGCAAGTGCTATAGGTAGAGGGTTAAATAAATATCACTATAAATGTAGAACAGTAATAGTCACTAGCACCTGCTTAATGTGAAGTAGCACGAGTTCCTTTATTAAAATGAAAACATGGGAAGCTTCTATAGCCGTACACTTGTAGTATCTTTTATTTAAGTCATCAAAATAGCATTGCACCCCCCAGATTGTTTTAGCTGATTATGACTTGTTTAGTAACACTTTCACCAAAAGGAAAATGGAATGAGTAAGTTATCCCCATCATTGGAAAAACAGGACTCACCTGCTTGCTGATAGTGTTTTTCTGCCAACAGTTGGTGGAGATGGTTCACTATGGAAAAAGCTTTTTATCCACCAACATTTATCAATTAATTCAGGTAACCCTGCAAAAGGAGAAAGAGCCCACACCATTAGACGCTGACTGAATAACAAATGGACAGAACCAGAAGAGTGTTTGAAAGAAAGGAGCAATACCATGAAATGCTTTGTCCTGGTCTGCAATGTTCACAGCATCCGAACAACAGGACGAGCTGGAAGAAACACTGGATTCCGAGTTCTGTCTTGCTGTTCATGGAAAACAGAGACACACATAATGAATAAAATGCTTTGAGAGAGTACACTATTTCTGTGCCAAGAATTTCAAACCTGCTATCTTGGAGGAAGCAATCTAAAAGATAAGTTTACTTAGCTACAAAGTATAACTTCTGTATTTTATACACCATTCTACTACTTTTATTTAAGTTGATCTCTCAGTCTACTTACTCTGCACTTAAAAGCAGAGATCCGTTTGCATAACTTTCACTGAAATAGTGACAAATCTTATGACCATGTACACATTGCTATCAAGACAAATGAGTCTATGCTTGAATATTCAAGTCCAAAACAACCTAATCGCTCTACTTTTCATTGTGATACAACTAAATCCTATACTCACTGCAGTGTCCATCCTGTACAGAGGGATCCTAATACACCAGGCACACTCTCAAACCAGTGACTATTTCACATATTTAGAAACAAAAACATGACTTGTGTTCTGTCTAAGCCTGCAAAGTAAATATGAATCATAGAACAGTTTGGGTTGGAAGGAACCTCTAAAGGTCATCTAGTCCAACCCCCCTGCCGTGGGCAGGAACATCTTCAACTAGATCAGGTTGCTCAGAGCCCCGTCCAACCTGACCTTGAATGTTTCCAGGGATGGGGCATCCACCACCTCTCTGGGCAACC